AGCCATGTAACGTACTGCTGATGAAGAGCGGGCAAAGAGCAGAAAGGGCCTCCGGATGCGAGGAAGAGAAGCTGCAGAGTTGATGCCTCCTAAATTCCTTGGGTCTTCTACTCTGTAGAGCAGTGTTTCTCAACCTTGGCAGCTTGAAGATGTGTGGACTTCAACTCCCAACTTCATGCTGGCTGGGGAATTCTGGGAGTTGAAGTCCACACATCTTCAAGCTGCCAAGGTTGAGAAACACTGCTCTACAGAGTAGAAGACCCAAGGAATTTAGGAGGCATCAACTCTGCAGCTTCTCTTCCTCGCATCCGGAGGCCCTTTCTGCTCTTTGCCCGCTCTTCATCAGCAGTACGTTACATGGCTCAGATTGCCAACATTTCTGTGGCTGTGTATTAACTTTGCCAAGATAATTGTTACGATCAATTCGATTATAATCCTTCCATTCTCAAAGAAGTGCAACATAAGCTTTATGGGTTTTTCAAAGGGGGGGAAAAACCACTCTTATCTGTCTGTAAACACATCCTTTGCTGGCAGCATCAGGGAAGATGTCGGATGGGGCAGCAGGAAAGCCTCATTCCGACTGCTTGGGGACCCAGGTGAGCTTCCACCCTCCGTCTTCATCCCTGCGCACGAAAGCCTGTCCTTGGCGGAAGGTGTGGGTTTTCACGTTGCAATGGGGGCTCAGGGACGTGGTGAAGGCCAGGTCCATCTTGGCTGGCAAGGGGCTGTCAGAGCAGCAAGGCAGTTGGCAGGGCGAGGGGAAGGCCAAGGGCCCTTTTCTTGGGCTGGCAGTGCTGTCCGCTGGGGGGGTCAATGTGGCACTTCTGCCAACCCCAGGTTGACCCTCGCAGATGCCCAGGTCTGGGCCCTCAAAGGGAGCCCAAAGGAAGGAGTCTGGGGAAGGGCCCACGGCCAAGGCACTGTAGTTAGCTGACTCGTCCACGGTGTCTACGTCTTTGAGCCCAAGCGTCTGCAGGACCCAGGAGTCCACGGGAGGGATGGGTGGCTCTTCGCATGCAGAGAAGTCACCAAGGAGGTTCCGCCTGGCCTTTGGCGGGTGGCGCCCCTCAGGGGAAACGCGGGTCTCTGCCTTCCGGTGCCTCTTGCCAGTCTTGGAGGTCCCATCAAGGTCCTGGCCATCCTGCGGCAGCAGCAGCTTCTGTTTCAGAGAAGGAAGGGGGAGAGTCAGTGGGGGCAGGGCTGGGCATCATTTGCAGATGAAAAGCTTAAGGGGATAATTAAATATGTCTGCCTGTCTGTCTGTCTGTCTGGCCTCCCGCACATGAAGGAGTGAGTTCAGGCTGAATTAATGAGGAAACCAATTGGTCCTTCATGGATCAACATCCTTGACGTATTTGCATGTTGTGGCACAGTTTAGAGCCCCAAAATTGAAAACAGAAATGGGATTAATAAACCCAGAGTTCTCACTCAAGGCACAAGTGACCAGGCTCAAATGACCATATATTTTGGACACATTATCTGGAGAAGGCGCTAATACTGGGAAAGGTGGAAGGAAAGGGAAGAAGAGGACGACCAGCAGCAAGGAGGATGGATTGAGTTACATTGGTAACGTGGGCACTATTGGAAGATCTGAAGGACCAAGTTAGGGAGAGCTATCCTAGAGAACATCTGTCTACCATATGTGTCACCAGCAGCTGACCCCGACTTGATGGTACATCATTAACTGATCAATCAGTCAGTCAGTCAATGCAAAGACCCAGCTCCTTTGAGAAGTCCATAATGCTGGGACGTTGGAAGGAAAGAGAAGAGGACGACCAGCAGCAAAGTGGACAGACCAAGTTACAGTGGTGATGGGGGCACCATTGGAAGAGCTGAAGGACCAAGTTGGGGACAGACCCTCCTGGAGAAAATCTATCTGTGACGTTGCTAAGAGTTGACACCAACTTCATGGCATATAAACAATCCATTTTAGATTAAAATACGCAGACATTTTTGTGAAAAATAAAAAAGTCATGCTACACAGTGACAGCTGCTATTTTGATTTTTTGGGACCCCCTCCCAACAGGCGCCCCTGTCCCAGGGGTCAAATGTGGAGCTGAGGGCAGCTTTCCTTGAAGCCAAGAGGCCCAGAGTCGACCTGGCTGTAGATTTGCAGTGGGCAGTTACCTTGGTCTTCTCCTCCAGCTGCTTGACCAGGGCTGAGCTGAGGAAGTGCCTGAGATGCTGGTTCTCCTCCTGCAGCCTGGCCAGCTCCACCTCCTTCTGCACCAAGATGTCTCGCAGCTGCAAAACAGAGAGAGAGCTAAGGGGGTCTGCTGATAAAGCTTCTCAGCTCACACCCTCCCCATGACCAGTGAAGGATTTGGAATTCGATCCTTGGGAAATTCTTGTCCCACCCAAATGGTGTAGAGCAGTGTTCCTCAACCTTGGCCACTTTAAGATGCGTGGACTTCAGCTCCCAGAATTCCCTAGCCAGCCTTGCTGGCT